TGTGTGTGCGTGCGTGTGTGTAAGAGAGGGGAGGGGAGTTTAAAAAAAGAGATGGAGAGACATGACTGTGACAGATCTGTCCTAGAAAAGTAGAAGGGATGAAGCAGGGATGCTGTGGTGAAGGAAATGCAGGTTAACTCTGGTTGGTGTTCACAGTAACCAGAATAACATTAATTTCTATTCCATATCCTTTAAAATAACCTGTTATCATGTCTTACATTCTGACACAGAGTCTCCTTTTTTCTAATGACTCAGCTGAAAATTTAAAGAACAAGTCTCCAAATTACAGCCATTAATGGCCAAAATGCCTTTTTCTGGAAGATTAATGCAAAATAAATACAATATAGGTCTCGACAGGTCTTTTTTTAAGTTACAGTTTGTTGATTCAAGAAAACACAATGCCTCAAAACATTTTAAAACTGCACTGTACATAATAATTAGCATTCATTAAGCTACAGACTTTACTACTATGCATGACAATATTTGACAGTATTTAATTTAGGCCGAGTTTATTTATGTCTCACCCGCACAACATGCTGTTTAAGTCCTTTAGTTTCAGTTTGGGAAGTCCTTGAATTTGACGCCAATTGTTGACTTTATTGATTTCTCTGTAGGACTCCCAATCACTGATTAAGGTTGTCCTACCCCTCGTTTTACACAGTTATCTCATTAAGTCAATAATACACATCAGCACTTTACTTCCAATGATATGTATATCATATCCACGTGTTTCTATTGTTCTCTCACAGTTACTAAGTATATTTTTGGTAGAAGGTGAAATATCTATGTGTAAATTACGCGCTATATTCACCCAGCATTAAATCTGGCACACTATAGCCTACATGTTTGCCATGTCCTTTGTGCACCGTGCCCACAATGAACCCAATAATTATCCTGTACCTTCTAAAAAATCAAATAAAAGAAGAGTGTGAGCCAGCAGACACACAGGTAAGCACTCACCCGTGAACCAGGCTTCTGTGCGGAGACTTGCGGCAGGTAGCAGAGAAACAGAGGCGCCAACAAGTGAGAGAAGCTGCAAAGAAGAAAACTTGACAATAACATAATTGATGGTCGGTGAGCGCAGAGCAGGCAGCGGCAGGTAGACTGCGTGTGTCCGTCTGTCACACTGATGATCAACAGGTCCAAACCGGAGGGGGGACAGAAATAACACGCTCCAAAAACACTCCTTCACTCTACTTTCCCTTTTTCTTTCAGTTATTTTCCTTTTGTCTACTTCTCCAATAACTATTCACATAGTGCCACGCGTGGGATGAGAGATCAGGACTCGGCGGTGACCATGGTGACTGGTTTTATCCACTGCGGGAGGATCAGCTGTTCATCGCGGCTTCCACAGGTTGAGTCGCGCCTGTATCCATTGCAACTTCATTTAAGAGCAAAGAAGGGAGAAGCGCCACTGACCGACAGTCCGACCGTCCAATGAGCAGCGAGGGATGCTGTTAAAAGCCACGCCCACCTCTTTTTTTTTTTTTTTTTTAACCGAGCCAAGATTAACTCTCCACAGAGGAGAGAGAGCTGCTGTGGTCAGTTAGGAGAAGGAGACTCAGCAGCTGCAGGGACACTCAGTGTATTATCATCAGGCTTTGAGAACAGGGACAATGGCCGAGCAATTGTGAAGTCAAATTTTAGGTTCTCATCCCCATTCAGAGACACATAAAGCTCTTTAATAGCCTAGTATCCTGCTGCCGTGACATTTAGCCTGTGTACTTGGGTTACAATGGAAAACATCTATTGAATAAAGTCAATAGCTGTCACAAGCACTACAGGGGGTCAGCCTGTGTTTGTAGATTTGGCTGTTTGTGTGTGTGTGTGTGTTAGAGGGATGAGGATTCAGTGGTTGATTGGGCAAAAACAGCTGTGCACCAAATCCCTAATTATTGCTCATTATTTCACTTATTTTCAAGAGTAAACCTTATAGCAGCTGATCACCATAAAGAAAACAGCATGAGGAAAATTTTTTCAAAATAAATAATGTTTAGTTAAATTAAAAAGTTCATCAACAGATTGCAGTGTTAACACAAATTCATTAGTATGTTTCGAGAGTCATGATTTTTGATTTTGACAAAATCTCATTAATAAAGAATAACAATAAATGAATGCTTGATTTGATCGTATACATCAAAAATGGGTTTACAATGCGCTATAAGGAAGAGTAAGACTGGGTGATAAGTCTGGAATAAATATTGAATTATCAAGAAAACATTTTTACCTTTATCAATAGTCAAATGTATAATGAACACTATCAAATAGAACTCTTCACTTTGGTAAAACACCTTGATAACAAATTAGGTTTTTAACAACAGTTTGCAGGGAATTATGTTTTTGGGAAACAAATTTTTGTCAATAACAGAATGTAATCATATCGTCACAATAAAATACATTAAGTCAGTTTATGATCATATTCAGTGGTGGAATGTGACACATATTTACTAAAATACTACTTCATACTTCTACTCAACAACATTTTGGTGGGAAATATTAAATTTTTTACTCCGCTGCATTAATTGTTATATTACAGATTAAGATTTTAGATGTAAAACATATTGTGATCTTATAAAAATATGATGCACTTTTGTAGATTAAACACATACAGACAAATACACATTAATTAAGAATTAATAATAATTAATACACAGTAATAATAATCCAATAGTAGGCTGTATTGATAATAGTATAACAATGACTTGGGACCATTTTTTTGTATTATGTTTACTTTGATTTGTGTTCAAGTACATTTAGCTAATAATACTTTAATTCATTAAACTTTAAGTATTTCTACATTGCAGTTTTCCTACTTTTACATAAGTAAAGGCTCTTTTCTTGTCCAGCCTGACAGAAAAACTGGACTCATAAAACTGCTCCCACACTGTAGTCCTGTCATCCCACAAACTCTCAACTTCTGGCTCCCACGTCCTCTTTCTCTCTGTGCTCTCTCTTTCTCCATCCTTTTTCCCTTTCAGATAAATTGTGTGGCCCATTGAGAGCGAGTTAAAAAAGAAGGTGGAGAGACCAAAGAGGGTGAGCGAGGGAAGCAGAGTGTTGAGTGCAGGTGTCCAGCTTCAGTTCAGCAACCCCTCAATCCCCAGAAACCGGGCTTTTAAGAGCTGAAAAGGGCCATCCGGTCACCCTTTGCTGGAATGGGCAACCCCCCCCCCCCCC